CGAGATCGTTCACGCCGACGAGATCACCGCGCGCGAATGCAGAACCTATTTCTCTTATGAATAAGCATCACCAAGTTTCTTTTTTTTTTTTAATTCTCCGTAGGATATGTGAGCGGCGCATACAAAAGAGAGGCGCTTTAGATTATAAATATTTATTGTATTTTTATAATTTAAAGTGTTAGGCGTTTGTTAGGCCCGCGCGAACGCCCGAGTTAACGTTACATTGCACATTAAGACCTCACGCTGAAATTGTAATTTGCGATTACACGTCACGATAGTTACGATATATACGCTTAATTATTATTCATATTATTATAATTATTCTTCAAGGAGTGAGAGACACTACTTATGTAACATTACCTCAGGATTCCGCGTCATTTTATCTCTTCGTCTCTTCTTGCGGTTCTTTTTTTTTTTTTTCTTGTTTTTTTCCTTTTCTTTTAATGTATGCACAGACACTGCGCGGCACGAGGGTTGAAGGTCAATCGAATCGCCTCGAATATTACGAAAAACGATCTACGTATTTAGAATTAAATGCAATTTAACACGCGTACATACTGCCAACCAACCGAGCGAGCGCCCGACGCCCACGGGCCCGCGCCTTCAATCTCGTTCGACGTCGAGAATTTTGAGAGCCCCTTAAAACCGAGCGATCGACTGTACTGTTATTTACGACTATACTGCTGCTATTATTATTACTACTCCTACTTTAAGTGTAATAGATTAAACCGCCCGTTCGAAGCCCCTGCTCGATCGGCGAACCAGTAATCGCGCTCAAGAGCGGAAAAAAAAAAAACACAAACGCGCACACAATAGATCGTAATATATAATATCCTGGCAAGTTCGACTTTACGGACAGGAGGAAGAAAACAGAAGTAGACAGTTCTATAGATCGAATTCATCGTCTCTCGAACGCTCCTTTATTTAAAAAAAAAAAAAAAAAAAAAAAAAAAAAAAAATACGGTCGACTTAAGTACTCATGTCTCGTACAGGATTACCGAGAAGATTACGAAGAAAACTCACGTCGTACGTGAAGAATCGTGGAACATCCATGTGTACGTGTCCGTTCACTGAAGCCAACGCTTGTTCTTACAAGCCACCGTTACAATTGACAGCGTTTTTCTACCGAAAAAATTTGCGACGTGTGACGCGAAGACGAGACACTACGCGAGATACGTAATGTCGCCACGCGAGATCTGGCGAATATTAGCGGGCTTAGAAAATCTGTAAATGTGATTACGTTCCTCCCCGAATACACTCGTTGGTTCATACGGTTATTTAACATAGGGATTTAGAGTTTGGATTTAATCTAAGATATATTTGTGTATACGTATATATATGTATATCTAGATTAAACCATATATATATATATATGTTATGTGTATATATATATTATATATATTTCTATATATACATATATATACAAGTGAAGCAAGCAAGACTCAAATTTAGAGTGCTGTTTAGCTTAAGTTAATGTGCGTTTTGTGAGAAAAATGTTAATGATTCTTACATTCACTTCTGTGAACGCTCGTCTTACGTTCACAAAAAAGACGTACGTTGTAATGGAAGAAACGTTCGGCGATAGATCTTGCGATTCTTCTAAGTTCCTACGTTGAGACTTCGTGCGAATTGCTTTTAATAACAGTCGTCTGTCCTTTTAGCTGAACTATTTGCGCCGTTCATCTTTTCTCTTTTATTTTCTCCAATGTGAAAAGAAGAAAGAGGTAAAATCAACTGTATAAGAAGTTCAACTAAGAAGAACAGACTTAAATAGGACGAGAATAGGAACGGCCCACGCTCGCTGTTGATCTCTCGGAGAATTTCATCATCGTGATCAGTATCGGGCAGGGCTTCGTGCAGATTACTGTAAGCTGCATGCGTTTTAGGGTACTAGAAACGTATGACAATATAGATCGCATCGCGTTGTAATTGAAGCGATTCGGATGATCCGCGGAACTATATAATGTGTGTCTGTTTGCTGAAAGCACACGCCAAGTCGAGAAGAACAGCGTTTCTTTTGATTGGATTTGCTCTACGGGATTTGCTGAAATTATGGAAATTTGTCATCCTGGCTTGATTCGGCATTTAGTTGTAATGTTGCATGTGCAACAGTAACGGCATAAGAAAAATGTGATGCTCGTCTTCGAAATCGTCTTCTATACTGTTCCAGAAAAAAAAAAAATTAGTACGTGAAATTAATTTACGGGATGTATAGTTGTATCATTTTGTGTTACAAAAATCGCAAGAGGATTGATCGAACAGATACTTATCCTTATTAAGGGATTGTTTTAACAATTTTGACAAATTTGACGCATCGCAAACTGAACAGATATTTCATCGCCATTTAATGATGTTTTGTTAATTAATATGTAATCGTACCAATTCACTCTGTGGACTGTTTCAAAATGGATATATATGTGAATAAAAAGCGATGTAAATTTTCGTCCGCCGACAGTTGGTAGTCACGACATATCAACGTATTTGTTAAGAAAAAAATTTGTTAGATTGAAATGTTCACTTGTCAGGAGAGAGGCTCTCAAGAAGTGTACAAAGAAAGAAGGAACTTTAGATCCTTCTTGAAAATGAATGTCAATAGTTTAGTATGCAGGCTGGATTGTATTTTTTATTTTTCTGTAAAAACATTTCGATTGAACGCACGAGTTTATTCAGAAAAAAAAAATAAAACACTTTTTTTGTACATCTATTTTTTGTCCCTTCATTTAATCTGTTCGTGACGTGATTGTATGCTTTCGATAACTATTTAAAGCTTGAATAACGACTTAACATTTGATAAAATGTTACAGATAAGAGTACCTCAAAACTGCCACAGTTGATTTTATAAATAATTATATCTTTTTATATAACTTGCAAGGAATTGTCTTTTCATATTATACATGAATATGAACAAAGTATACAATGTCAATTCTATTTTATAGTATACTAAAAAAGGAATTTTATTTATTTACTGTTTGTATGTGGTACAATGTCTTCAACTCATCTGAAATAACGTCTGGCGCTCCAGACATTAAATCTCGTCCTTCCATTGTTTTCGGAAAAGCTATGACGTTCTTTATACTTTTTTTGTTACAAAGTACGCAAACGAGACGATCCAGTCCTTGAACAAGAAATAATGTTTTTGTCTTTAATTCGCAGATGTAAATTTATTATGTGAAAATGTAATACCTATAGCTATTCCACCATGAGGTGGGGCTCCGTATGTCAAGGCCTCGAGCATGTGCGACAATTTTGTTTCGTCTATGTTTAACATTCCCAATATTTGCTTTTGTAAATTCGCATCGTGGATTCGAATGGAACCTCCCGCTATTTCCGATCCATTCATCACTAAATCATAATGTAAGCCTCTCACCTATGGAAGAAAGATATGTAAAAAATATGACAAAATTAATTAATCCACTTGAATCTTGCTGACCTTTAAAGGATCAGTTGTAAGATATTCCATGTCGTCTGGATGAGGTTGCGTAAATGGATGGTGCGACGATTCTAATGTTTCTTCGAATGTGAACAACGGAAAGTCCGTGATCCATACAAGTTCAGTCTCGGACGAACGTATTTGTTCGCCTTTGGCTTCTAGTATATTTGTAAATTCGGTACGTAGCTTTCCTAAGAGTTTCAACTAAAAAAAATATATATATATAGTAATTATTATAGTTGCAGATGAAGAAAAAAATTGATTATTAAAGGAGAAAAAAAAGAATTCTAGACTCTATACTCACTGCATCCATTCGATATCCAATTGCCAGCAATACTACATCCCCTTCCTGTAACTTGCAATATCGTGATATGTCTTCCGCTATAATTCCTGATTTCAATTTTAGCTTATCTAACTGTGTACTCCACGAATTGTTTTCAATTTTTAATTGAACTAGCTTTGTAATACCAAAATAATCGTTACGAATCTTAGAGAGTTCATTTTTGATAGATTTTGTTAAGTACTTCTACAATATAAAAAGTACATTAACATTGGAACACACAAATCGAAATAAGTTAAAATAAATACCTACCGACTTCTTTGGAAAAACTAAAGCATATACTTTTTGTTTATTATCTTCCAGCTTCACAGTCTCTTTTAATTCTGAATAATCAAACATATGTGTAAGGTCTTGTATCTGGAAAACAATTTTGCATTTAAATAATATTATGTTTATTCCATGAGATAAAAAAAGAAAAGATTGTATAAATTAGTTTTTTTTACTTGATACGATATTCTTAAATCTGGTTTGTCAGTACCATACAATTCCATTGCGTCTTTATACGTCATAAGTTTAAAAGGCACTTTTATGGAACCCAATTCCTTTGGCCATGAATACATTAACAAATTTTCGATTAAGCTCATCACTCCGTCCCGGTCAACAAATGACATTTCAATGTCTAGCTATAATATAATTGATATAACACTGATAATATAACTGTGTTACTGATGATAAAATATATTACTTATATGTAAAAACAACGTATAATTACCTGCGTAAACTCTGGCTGCCTGTCATACCTAGTACTCTCGTCTCGATAACATCGAGCGATTTGAAAGTATCTATCAAAGCCACCTATCATAAGAAGCTGTTTAAATTGTTGAGGACTTTGCACTAGTGAATAGAAGTTGCCTGGTTGTCTTGTAGGTACTATAAATTCTAGTGCACCCTGAACATAAAGAAAATTAATGTTTTGATTTTTTAATTTTAATATTACATAATAATTTAATTTTGTATATTTGACATAGATTTACAACAAACTAGATATTAAAAGGTGTACCCCTGGTGTACTTTTAAATAACGTTGGTGTCTCAATGTCCACAAAACTACATTCGTGAATCAAGAATTCTCTCATCCTCATTATGAGGGAGGAACGCATCCTTAAATTCTTTTGCAGTTCAGGATATCTTAGTGACAGATATCTGTATTTCATCTGCTGGTCCTCTTTGGCTTTATTGTATTCTCTCATAAATACTGGCAGATTATGCGATGCTACATTTAGAACCTCCAAGGACTCAATATACACCTCTATATCGCCCGTTTTCATTTTCTTGTTCTGCTTATCTTCAGGTCTTGGCAAGACTTTGCCTATTACGCTCAAGACAGTTTCGAAAGACAAGTTCTGTATAGTTTCTACCAAATCCTTTCTCTGAAACCATTAGAAACTTTTCAATGTTTTATGTGACACAGCTACTAAATATCAATATACATATAATAACTATCTACATACATCTTCAGGTATAAGTAACTGCGTTGATCCATATGAATCACGTAATGTTATAAATTTCTTCATTCTCTGGAATTCCAGCCAACCGCTCAATCTCACTTCCTCTCCAACGTTCTTTAGTGTCAGTTCGCCACATGTGTGAGTCCTCTGGACATATCTATTGACTGGTGACACTGGTTCCTTTATCAATGGCACTGATCTGTTAATAACTAAATTGTGCACGCAGGCCTTTGAAATTGCAGATTGATCCTTTAGCAGAAACTAAAACAAAATTCATAAACATATTTTAAATATCGTGTAAATATAGATCATTGCTTCAGATTCTAATATCAAAACAAACATTATTATATAAAATGTTTAGAAACTTACATTTACGTTAGGTAGATTATTTATCAACTGCCATATGTAGTATCTTGTCACGATGACATTTGTGCGGCTAAGCACAATTCTACTACTGGCAAACATTTTATACTGTTATATTAATGAAGTTTTTGTTTTTTAAACTAATCAACTTTTTAGTATATTTTCTTTCATATGCAATTGTTTACAAAATCATTATCGTCCTCTTGTATTCTTCTCACCTATTGTTTACAAATTTTTATTAGAAATCTGCTATATTTTTATATATCAAATATATAAAATAATAATTATATAATAATTATATAATTATATAATTATTCACTTTTAGTCTTCCTTGGAGTCAATGACGAAATTAAATGTTTTTGTACAATCTGGCTAAAAAAAGCATCATCTCTCTCTTTCTCTCTCTCTCTCTGCCTTACAAATCAAGATATATAGTAAATATAATAATTATTTTAAATATCATACAATATATATAATAATTGTCTCCTAACGATTATATAAGAAAGTATTTTATTATTTTGAACACATGCATTAACCGATTATCAGCTGATTCTACTGAAGTCTGACGAATTCTTCATACTAACCAAACACTCAACGTTACGTCCGATTACAAGTTTTTCATTTCGATCATTCGTGCGAATTATATCGAGTACTATTATTTATAAATTCACGCATGTATTATTGAGCATTGCATTATTCGCAACGCGACATCAATCAACATTAATGGACATTTTCTTTATCTTATTGTCGGTGATTGCCGGACAGTGGACGCTGGACACACACACTCCTATTGAATTGACACACATAAGTACGATTGTTCATGTGCGACGTTTGTGGCGAATTTACGTTGACATTTTTTTACAAACAAATACGGTACAAAAATACATTTGTGATAGGCTCGGTTATGTATTTTGATGTGAGAAGATAATATTAAAATAGAAGGTTAGTCAAACTTGCCGAATTTTAATTGCAAAGTTACGAAAAATTGCATGGCTTCCTAATCTATTTTCTTAACCTATAAATATTGATACTCAACCTAACCCATCCGTAATAAATTTTTGATAAAATATATAACTGTAGATGTAAATCTACAGTAAATGTAAAAAGAATTTAGGAATGATTTTTATAAAAAAAAAGCTTTGTTTGGAGAAAATAAGATTAATTAGCAATTTATTAACAGTAATATAAACAAAGGGCTTTGCAAAACTAGATTTAAAATCTTAAGTTATAATAAATTTCTCTGTATAAATACTTTTTATACATTTAAATAATTTATCTTTGCTCTTATTATTAAGATAATATATTTTAATAATTACAAATCTTTTTAGATAAAAAATTTTTTAAGAAAAAATAGATAAGTATTTTTCAAAATTATATATTAATTCTTAATTTTTTTCAAAATTATTAATTTTGAGAAATATACTATTTTTTCTGAAAATTGTTTTCCTAAAAAGATTGTATATTAATAATTAATAATAATTTTAAGAAACATCAAGCATTAGTAATTAAAAAAAAAATTTATTTTTGTTAATAATTTGTTAATTTGTTTTGTAAAAATGAGAGTTTTGTAAAAAGATATCTGTTAGAATTTTTGCACAGATTGTATCTGAAAAGAAAAGCATTTATCTAATACTATTTGTATATGTGATTGTTTTCAGTAACAAGGATGATAATGTCAATTTTTAATAAAAATGACTCTGTACTACTCGTAGGAGAAGGCAACTTCTCATTCTCTGCAGCATTGTCGCGACAAAATTTGAACATAGAACTTATTGCTACCTGCTACGAATCTGACATTAATCAAGAAGCTGCAGAAAGAAATGTAGATTATCTTCGAAACAATGGTCAGTAAATTATAGTAGATACCTGTATGAATATTATTCACAATATCGAAATCGCCAATCTGTTATGAAGAAACAAATCTATGCTTTTCTTTTCAGGTATCTGTGTATTATTTGATGTGGATGCTACGAAATTGGAGGAATGTTCCTTGTTAGAGTCGCGACTGTTCGACAAGATTATTTTTAATTTTCCCCACACTGGTGGTAAAATGAGAATAGAAAGAAATAGGGACTTACTGAAAGACTTTTTTGTATCTTCTGAAAGAATAATAAAAGAAAACGGTCAAATATTAGTAACACTATGCAATGGTCAAGGTGGAACGCCTATGGATAAGCCTAGGAGACGTTGGGACGATTCCTGGAAAATTGTAGAAATGGCTGCACATGGAAATTTTATATTAACGAGAGTAGAACCGTTTTTGTGGCAATCTTTCCAAGATTATATTGTAACGGGCTATCGTAGTTTAGATAAGCAATTTCACACGACTGGTTCGTTAACACATTTTTTTATGAAGGGCGAGCTACCTATGATGCACAATATCGCACCTATCAATAAGATACACATTTCTAAATATACTGTGGATAATATTACGTGGAAGGACATAATAAAAAATATTCAAGATAAATTAGATGTCAAATGTATTTATCCATGTAGTTTTACATTTGATTTAACTTTGTCTACTGATCGAAATTTCAATATAGCTGAATTTTATCAGTCGCTGTATAATTATGCAGGATCTATTATTGACAATGTAGATTTGATTAATTGTTATCACTCTCCTGTTGACGAAAAGATAAAGAGAACGTACAGGATAAATTATAAATCATATTATATGCCATTATATAGGAGAAGAGTTATTGAATTACATCAAAATGTAATCGCAAATTTTGTAGAAGATAAATTTAAAGTCACCGTCTCAAGATGAGCACGTAACTAGAATTATTTTGTATATATTAAGAAATAAATCTAGATCTTTATTAAAATGGTACATATATTGATTTGTCTTATTATTAATATCATATTAATATTTTGTTTTATGTGAGATTCATATTTTTTGCGATCCCTTTCAGATGCATCGTCTTCGTCATTTGAGAAGTATCGTCACATGCGGCATAATTCAAAGACAAGGCTGTGAAACTATATTGAAAGAGAACAGAATCAGAAGTGAAGTTTCAAGTAGGCTTAGAGCGTTATCTACTACCGCATGCGTTCATAAACAGGAATTTATAGCTAAACCTTTACGCAGCACAAAACCCAAATCAAAGAATGACACTCTACAAAATTTTGTTGATATAAAATCGGTAAGAATATGATGTTTCACGAAACATCACCAGTTCCTAATTATATGATCGTTTTTCGTTAGGTGAGAACAATCGGTGGAAACGGTGGCGATGGGCAGATATCATTCTTACGATTGTGGGTCAATGATCGAGCTGGTCCGGATGGTGGTGACGGAGGACATGGTGGTCATGTAATATTTGAAGTAAGATTATTACGACTAAAGCAAATTACAAGAAATAAAACATAAGATCGATTAATAGATGCTTTCCAGCATCTAAGAAACACAGATTTATACCCAATGAATCATTACATTCTTGTTTGTCAATATTAAACAAAAATGAAATAATTCGCTGTATTATATGGGTCGACTTGCGTTGTTAAATGGAAAGCATCCATTGTCTCATGTATGTCTCTTGCTGAGAAACGTCTATTTATGTTACATTTATGTGTAACATTATTAACATCAATTTGTACAGAATACAAAGTACACAGTTTTATTATGCAGGTGACATTAAATATAAAGGATCTTAGCCACATACATTCAGTGATTAAAGCTGAGGATGGAGAAAAAGGCTATACCAAGGATTGTTTCGGTAAAAATGCAGAACATAATGTAGTAAAAGTTCCCGTTGGCACGATCGTGCGCGATGTAGAGGGTAAAATATTAGCCGACTTGAATAAAGAAGGAATGATGTTTATTGCCGCGAGAGGTGGTGCCGGCGGCCATGGAAATGCCTTTTTCAAGTCAGACACTCAACAGACGCCTGAAATATGCGAATACGGCGCAATTGGGGAAAACTTGCAATATGTGTTGGAAGTAAGGAGTATGGCCCACATTGGATTAGTAAGTATTCTTTTAGTTACCGCTAAATTGATTTCTCATTAGCGTTTTAAAAAATTCCGTCATTAATTTCCAAAATTATATACTTATTTGTATAAATAAGTTAAATTAGAAATCACACATTTTTATTGTATAAATTTAAGAATAAAATATATGTTTGTTTCATGTTTATCAAATTATCAGATTGGTCTGCCAAATGCTGGTAAAAGTACACTTTTAAGAGCGATATCCAGGGCTAGGCCAAAAATAGCGGCATATCCTTTTACCACTTTAAAACCTCACATAGGCATAATTCAGTACGATGATTATGAACAAATTGCAGGTAATTTTTATAATAAATTTGTATCGTACAGCATAGAAATAGCGTAAATTTTCTTGTGCATTTAATCTACTTTCGTAATTTACTTATTTATTTTAGTTGCTGACATGCCTGGTCTCATAGAAGATTCGCATAAGAATAAAGGGCTTGGCATAACTTTTCTCAAGCATGTGGAACGTTGCGCTGTTTTAGTATTTATTTTAGACGTAACACAGAACGAACCATGGGAAGTTTTGAAAACTTTGAAGTATGAAATTAGTCAATTTAATGAAAGATTGAATGACAGGCCCCACATTATTGTTGCAAACAAAATTGATTTGCCAGATGCTGAGGTAAGCAATTAAAATTTTGAATTCTTTGAGTTTATTAGTTTTACTACTATTTTAATATTTTTACGTATTAATTTAAGTGGCAACAGTAATCAAAATAAAGATCTCAAAATTGATAGACTTTGCAATGTAATTTATTTCAGGTTAATTTCCAATTACTCAAAAAACATACAGATCTACCGATAATTCCTATCTCTGCCAAGATAGGAACTAACATTTCCACTTTATTAAACGAGATTAGAATATTGTATGATAATCTTAAAGTTCATACATCAGAAGAAGACACTGAACTTTTGATGTAACTTTTACACAATAAATCTAATAAAAATGTATATAAAATAAGAGTTCTTATTGCAATGGCGTTAAAATCACGTAGCTTCCATACAAAATGTAAAATTTTTCACTACACATTTTACTTGTGGCTGATTTAGGATCGTCGAAAACCATTTGGTCACATTCACATATTGTTCTCTGTAACGTGGATTAAATACATGTTCGTATAAAGGCAGCAATGCGGTAAAAACGGATATATCTGCAAGAGTGATCCTTTCGTCTATCAAATATGTCTTTGTATGCAGTATGTTATCCAGTCTTCTTAGAGCGTAAAAAAGATCCACTTTTGAGGTTTTTACATTCATTCTCGTATTTCCTGATACATAAACCTTAAGTGAAGAAAGTACCCAGCCACTAACCATTGGTAAAATGTGGTTTTGTACATAACTCATCCATTGCAAAACTTGACTGCATGCAAACAAATCGTCATCACGCCGTAGCTGCGAATTTGATAAAAAGAATGCAATGGCATTGCTGTCGTGTAACGTTACATTTGTTGTTTCTAACATTATATCACTAAAATGTATTTTATTATCAACTTGCTTAATAGTCAAATGCTTGCCACTATACTGTGAGATTATTTGTGCTAAATAGCATTTAATGCTTCCAATGTTCCCATAAAGTACTAATTTTAATGAAGATCCCGTGTTAAGTAATCGAAAAGTTTCTGAAGTTTTACAAGTATTGTTAGTAGTAATCTTGTCTGAAAGCAGACATAATCGCTGATAACTGTGGTAAATTAATCTAAACACACAGATTAGTAAATTAATAAACTACTATATTAATATCTAGTAAACTGTTACACTCTTCGATTTCAAGTTTTCAATTGAGCTACCTACTATAAGTATAGTACAATTACAGTAAAATTACATCTACACTAAAATTACAGTACTATAGTATTAAACAATGAAGTTTCTATACTTACTTATAATTCCAAGTTTTTGGTCGGCAAACTCATTAGCTTTGCTTACTATTTCATTCAAACAAGCTACGTTCAAACCGGAAGCTTGTGCAGATTCAGATTTCCCACCTCCTTTGCCTTGCATCAAAGATGTAATTGCCTGAATCCATTCATTTGCTTTCAATCCTTTGGATATTGCAGACTGTGAATGAATTCGTCTATCAGTATGACTGTTTTTATTTTTACTTTTACTCAGGGAATGGAAGAGTTACTTTTACAGTTACTTTTTATAACAATGTGGTAACAGTATTGCAATTTTTTATGACCGTAATGATAATTTAACTAAACGCTTAACAGGCTAAAATTATTTTAGCCTCTTAAGCGTTTAGTTAAGCGTTTAGTTATCATTACAGTCATAAAAAATTGCAACATTGTTACCACATTGTTATAAAAAGTAACTGAAAAAGTAACTCTTCCATTCCCTGCTTTTACTTTACTTTTATCTTACTTTAGGAACAGAACTGAGAGCGAATATTTTTTTGACATCATGATCGACACTTATAAGCAAAGCACTAGTTTCTGGCGATATAGCCCTGATTTTCTTTAATGCTGAATCTAGAGCTTTTGTATTACTGTAGGCTTCCAGCACCTCGACTAAGACTTGACATCCAACTTTAGACTCTATTATAGACTGAGCAGTTTGTACGACTGTGGTAGCGACAGCCGCCTTTGCTGCACGTTCTTTATCGTCGAGAGACTTCTTCATTTCTTTCAAATGATTGCGCAAGTCATCCTGTTATAATAAAAAAAATTATTACTATAATAAGTTATAGTCTGAAAATGTTTTATTAAATGTAATTGCCTTCCGATATGCAGGAATAAGGGCTTGAGATATTTCCTCTGTTAATTCTACTATCTTTCTCACATATTCCTTAGAGTTCATATCATTCATCTGATATTGACATTCAGACATTGTTATATCTGATCCAAATCTCCCCGCCGTTCTTATGGCTTTTCTTGCTTCCGGTCCAGTGAGTGCTACTATGCGTCTAATACCTTTAGCGATAGCATCTTCACTGGCTATTACAAAATCACCTATATGGCTAGTGTAATGCAAATGTCTGTGGAACAAATCGTAATCGTTAAAGAAACAAATGTGATAAGAAATAGTCTGTAGTTCTTTTCAATTAAATTTCTTGTTTACCTTTTCTTGTTTTTCTTTCTAACATAGAGAGGAAAAAGGAAAAGTTGAATGGTGCAAGAAATGAAAAGAACAAACCTAGATGTATGCTTTAAGCGACACTTACGTTCCCCCGCAAAATTCTACGCTGGTTTCAAGAGCGGCTGTACTTAAGGGATCTTTTTCTAAGTTTTCAACCGGTATGCCCACACTAACAACACGCACTGGATCAGGATACGTTTCCTCGAACATTGCACGCAAACCCTGAATAGTTTTTGCTGTAGCTAAGTTACTTTCCTTAGCATAAATTTTCTCATTTTTCCTTATTATGGCAATAACTGACAATTCCGTTTCTTTCAACTGTTGTCCTGTCATTGGTCCTATTGAGAAAATTACAGTAATAGTTGATTCGTGCTAACTTGATTTTAATTCGAAACCGTACCTTTGTTTGTAAAGTCAAAGCGGAGTCTATCAGGTGTAACCAATGATCCTTTCTGATCGGCTTCAGTTCCCAAGACCTTCCTAAGCGCATAATTCAAAACGTGCGTGGCACTGTGATTAGCCATCACGAGCCGTCTACGTTCCGTATCCACATTTGTACGAACTTTATCTCCTTTTTTTAATTTGCCTTCGCCCACAATACCAATGTGTAACACATAACCAGCTCTGACTTGAACGTTTTTTATACGAATCTCTGTAGTCTTTTAAAGCAATATATTATAAATAATTTTGTTCTTCGTTACTTCGAAATTAAAACGAAAATTAATTTTTATATACCTCATCATTGACTTTCACTAAAAATCCTTCATCGTATATTTGTCCTCCTTGCTCCGCATAAAAATTCGTTCTGTCCAATAAAATTCCAACCACTTCGCCAGAAGATACTTCATTGACGAAAGTCTTAGCGCGTCTTAGTGCAATTACAGTACCGGTACATGGTGCAAATTCATACTCTTTATATTTAGTTTTGTTTGTTACTTTATAATTATATTTAGGAGAATCGTCCGTAGGTTTAACGCCTTGATTTTGCAATTCAGTGATGGCATGGACATCCAGATTAATTTGATCATCTACACCACCAGCTTTACCTTGAGAAATTAACTGTACAATTGAAAAAATATTAATGAAGAACATTAAAGTAAAAATATAAGTGTTTTAGCACTTATAATTAATATACTAATATAGATTATTATACATTGAAATATATATAATACTTGAGCTTGTTTCTTAGATTCTTCATAGCCTGCCATATCAATCTTCAATCCTTTCTCTTCGGTCATTAACTGAGTGAGATCTATCGGGAAACCATAAGTGTCATATAAACGCCACGCGACATCACCTGGCACAGTGTCAGCTGATTCCAGCTTTGCTATCGTTCTGTTCAATAAATTACGACCCCGCGATAAAGTTTTCAAAAACTGACTTTCTTCTTCATTGATAGTCTCAATAATACTTTGCGGATCTTTTTTTACTTCTGGAAAAACATCACCTGCGACAGCAAAAGACTACCTTTAAGCAAATAATGAAAAAATACAAACACTTCTTTTATCACAATAAAATATTTACCGAGAAGATCGACTACTACGTTTACAAGAGTTCCGAAGAAGCCTGGTTTAGCGTTTAATTTCTCGATTGCGTAGCGTACAGCGCGTCGTAAAATTCTCCTTAGCACATATCTGTATCAAAATAAAGAGAATTACATTTAGATAAATTTAATAATATATTAAAAAGTGCAAAAAGGGCAAAATATAAAAACAATATTCAGAAAAACACAGCGGTTAAAAAAATGCTCGTTGCTATTAATTTTTTTTAGAGGTTTATCTAAGTTTTTAATCATAGGCAACAATTACTGTGAATTTACTGAACAATTGTGCTTTCCGAACATAGCCAAAGTTTAAATCTCGCTTACCCTCTGCCAGTATTATCAGGCACTCCTCCATCTGCCAAAGCAATTGTAAGAGTTCGAGCATGATCAGCCAGAACTCTGTATGCCATATCGATTCCATTAACATCGTCAGCTCCTACTTTACCTTGATAAGAAGGTGCACCTGTACCTTTCTCAATTGCGGTGAACAAAGGCATAAATAGATCTGTATCATAATTAGCACGTTTATTTTGAATCACCGATACCAGTCGTTCTAAACCCAAGCCGCAGTCTATATGCTTTTTTGGTAATGATTTAAGACTACCATCTGACTCCCTGGAAACACAATTGACATAATTAAGATTGTTGAGACTTTGGATCGCATGTTATAATCTAGTCTTTAAATACCTATTGTATTGAATAAACACAAGATTCCAAATTTCTAATACATCGGGATCATCCATATTCACAAGATGAGCTGCTTCTCTATCACCAATACGATCGTAATGCAGTTCACTGCACGGTCCGCAAGGTCCAGTTTCGCCCATTTCCCAAAAATTATCCTTCATGTTGCCTGGTAAAACATGCGAGGCAGGAACTCTGCAGATTCATATTTTACAACTTTAAAAATTTTGAACAATAAACATTAAAATATGGTCAAAAATATGTCAATAAGAAGAATTAAATATAAGAGAATTAAGAAAATGAGATTATATTACATATATAATATTAGAATTAAAAATAATATTTATATTGATAAAACTTTACCAATATAAACTGTTAAGAATAATTGTATTCTAGAATGATTAAGTACCCAAGAGAAAGCCAGAGATTTTTGCACTCATCGTCTGGTGCTAATCCGTTTTTCTTATCCCCACCAAAATATGTGACATACAATCTATCAGCTGATAGTTTCAACACATCTGTTAAAAATTCCCAGGCCCAAGTACATATCTCTTTCTAAAAAAAAAATTACATAAATCTTAAAGTTAGAAATTTGAAAAAAAGATTATTAACTTCACGAACAATTAATTACCTTGAAATAATCACCAAAAGACCAATTTCCCATCATCTCAAAGAACGTATGATGATAAACATCTTTACCAACGTCATCCAGATCATTGTGCTTGCCACCAGCTCGGATGCACTTTTGGCTATTAACAACGCGCACCCATTTCGCCATATCGCTGTTGGGATCAACCGTTCCTAAGAATATCGGCTTAAACTGAAATACATTTAAAATAAAATTAGCAAGTGTTGTGATACCAAGAATAAATTAAATAATGTCTGCACAAATCTCCACGGTTATTGATATATAAATAACATGTTTATAAGATAATAAAATATAATTCATAAACAATTGAAATGTTGTGAACTTTTTACGACCTCCAGCTTATAGTAAAAAATATAAAATCATTTTTTTTCTCTGTTTTATTTAAACAAAATAAACATTATTTGGGCGAAAGATTTTATCTATTTCCAAAAGTGGCCTTGTAAAGTAATTTAAAAAAAATTGTACATGTTATTACTTTTGAGGCTTCCATGGGTATTTTTCTTCAAGAAGTAAAGAAGTTATATAGTTTGCGAGTTATCTCTGTGTCTTATAATACATTATTAAAGGCTAACATTTCAGTTTACTTCATCAAGACATAAAGCAAACGTTTTTTATCTTGAAAAAAAGAATGGAGAATTCACAAAAACATTGGTATTTAATAATATATTAAAACACAGAAATAAAGCTATTTAGTATAGCTTTCTTGAAGTTCATAAAATACTGAACAATAAATTCAATGTGAAAATTATCAGAACACACTTGATTCATCCCAGCATTCGTGAAAAGCAAAGTTGGATCATCGTGGGGTATCGTTGAGCTCGAATGTACATATTCGTGTCCCTTGCTCTTGAAGAAGTCGATATAGGCTTGCCGTATTTGCTTTGCATTCATGTTATTACTATTATTTGTGTTCAAAGCACATGATATTGTGTCGGATACTGATAAACCATCATCATTGTTTTGATTATTGGCAGTCTGTTGTAATGGCATCTCGATAATATCAGACATAAAATCCTTTGTGCTGCTCAGTGTGATATCCTAGAACTTTGCAAGTTATAGCAATATATCGTTAAACACTTCGCAACATAATATGCCATATGGCCTCAGCCACTTCAGATTGCAATGATTGCATCAGAAGTGCAAATGTATAAAAAAATATCGAAATAATCAAAATGAAACATGCAACTCGCTTTATGTAATTATATTACGTGATCTCTGATTCAGATTTACATAAACAGCAGGAAAGAAAATGATAAATCTTTGCAGGACTTACATCTATTGTGCAGTTATGTGGACAGGTCGATTGATGACACACGAACCCACATTACACCCATTACACCACGCGGCTCAACGCGGCTTACTGTCGCCTCGCTGTCTCGCTCGCTCTAGTGGTACGTAGTTCCTGCAGCTCGAAAATGGCGTTGGTGCCGCTAGTGTAAAGCATTACAGGAAAAAGGCCGCCATGGCCGCTCTCAGGGGTTTCTTATGATAAATGATAATAAATAATACATACCTCAACGTAATCACTTGGATTCCTATCTTCCTTCTTGTTCTTTTAGTAGCGCTGCCGTTGTCTGTACTAATATTTAATATTAGCCACCATATATATACAGGGTGTCATTAATCGAGCGAATCACCTATCATGAGCAGGTAGAGTAGACCGAACTGAGTCGAAAAGTCCTGTACCATTTTGAGATTGCAGCAATAGTTAACGAGATATTAATTTTTAAAGATTGGCGAATACGCGCGTCCGTTCGGCCTACCACATTTAGAGTTGCCTTTCAAGATCGATGATTATTCGGCGCGCAATTCGGTGAGATTTTTCAGATTATTAGTTGCGTTTCAAGACCGACGATTATTCGGCGCGCAAGTTGGGAGGGGTGGGGGTAATACAACTATGGATAAATATTGCGAAGAATATTACTACGTCGACCCGCCATCAGAGGTCTATCGATATTCGCAAATTCTCGCAAGTGCTTTGATACGCGTATATCTCTTTATATAGAATCTCGTTTAATAACTCTCTCAGGCGTATAAGGTAGGCCTCCACTGCAATGCCTTACTGATGAGTCCAGTAATGGAGGCCAAGAAGAAACGCCAAAAATTACGTGATATATTCTTCGCAATATATTAGAATGAAATTAAATTATTGTAAAGAATTTATTTGCTCATAACCCTTTCCTCTTTTTATTATTAATTTAACACGAGCATAAGTACTCGGAACATTTCATTCCGAGTACGATTCTACTCGTGCCTCATCTTAGACAATTGTCTGTTGTATAGTTTCATATATGTGTGATTCTGAAAATTACAAAACAGAATGACACATATTATTTTTTGTACATTTCTATTATATACATTTATAAATAATACATATCGGTTTTTAATTTAAATGAGAAATAAAAATTTCTTAACATATTAATTGAAAATTTCAAAATTATTCTCATATTATTAGTTGAAAATTTCATTTTCTTATCTAGTGTATGTAAACACTGGGCCGAGAAAAATATGTCAGACACTCGAGAACGCGATGCCGGGACTCGAACCAAGGACCTTCTCGTCGTACCGTTCGTAACACAAAGCCACCGCCTTGCCGCGGAGCCACATAGCCCGACACGTAGATTTTTACTTGATATCTTACATGTATATGTATGTACTTACCTATGTACTTTCCAAATCGCGTTTTCTTTGTCCCCCCTCCCGTGACGTCAGTTAATTAAATTTAGTCAAATTGAATTTAAATGTGAAAAATAGTTTTCTCTTGTTTGTTATTGTTACTTCTGATTTGTCTGAGGTGAAAAATGTATAGAAATTACGTGGAAGCTTATAAAATTATCTTTAAAATGAGATTTCTTGAACCTCGTCCAATAAATAATTTCCGATATGCTGCAGCCTTTGGAAAATTTCGTAATGTGCTGATTTTATGAAAAAATCGGACTTTTTGTATAAACAAACATAAGTATAATGACGATACAAAAATTAATATCCATATTTTTCTGTTAGTTTACATATACATATACATATACACGCGATCCTGTAAGCGATAGTTAAAAAAATTTACTCTTTTTGCAAAATAGTTAATTGCTATAATAAAATGCTTATCTTTTTTAGCTTTTGGCATAAAAAGGTGATTTGCGGTAACCTTTTTGTAAATATCTCAATTTCTGCAAGGTATACGTAAAAAATACCTTAGATAAAAATTAAAGCTTAGAAAATTCCCTACAAAATGGTGGATTGTTAATTTATACGCGATATATATATATATATATATACAGGGTGTTTGAAATTAACCGCCAAATATTTCATATGTGGGTAGAACAGATTATACTGAGTCGAAAAGTCCTGTACCATTTTGTGATTGCAGTAATAGTTAACGAGATATTAATTTATAAAAATATTTAAATTCGCCCGGCCCATCGTCAAATGCAAACGCGCGGCTGGATAGGACCGCCCAGCGAAACGCGCCGCGCGCGTTCGCCGTTGCTAGGCGTTGTTTATAACAAGCGTTGTTTATAACAAGCGGCAATAGTCGTCGCTAGACATGAGTCGCGTGCCTAGCGACGGCGAACGTGAACGCGCGCGGCGCGCTTTGCAGGGCGGTCCTATCCAGCCGCGCGCTTGCATTTGACGGTGGGCCGGGCGAATTTAAA